GAATATGTATGTATAATAAATAGCTATACATATTTAAACAATTGCTGGATTTACAATAGGGTTTCACAAACTGGGGTTCGTTATCGTGATCTGATGAATAATAATTTATTAAATCATAATGTAAAATAAAAAAAATAATAAATAATTTTAAAATAAAGTAATAAAAGCACAAACTCCAGTAATGTACACTATAGTGTAAACGAAAACAATAACTATTTTCATGCTTTCGGTTTATTTCTAATTTACTTACGCTAGCCATATTGGTCTATTCTTGCCAAGAACTGCCCACTTAGACAGGAAGTGACATGTAAAATCACCAACTACAATTCATTCCATCTGTACATCTAATGTTTGTCAAGGACTGCCAACGCTGTGAGTTCAGTCCATGGAAAAATTCACAGTTTTTATGATTATAAACAGATCGGTTAACTGCAGTATCCCTATTTTTAAAATAAATCAATCTGTGTTCTGTGTTTTTGTTCAGATAAGGCCCAGCTCTGTCTGTTTGGCTCTTCTAAGAACGGCTTTGGCTTTCGTGACAGTGACCTGGACATCTGTATGACACTGGAGGGTCACGACACCGCTGAGGTAGAAATGCCATGTCCATGCCAAGGCATGCCATGTTTTATTTGGATTTTTGTAAATATCTGTATGATTATTAGAAACACACCTTATTTTTCTTTCATTTAATTTTTATGTCATGCAAAATTTCAATGTCGATAACTGTTTTCCCTTATTTTAAATGGTGTTTTGTGTTTAAAAACATTGAAAAGGAGATCAATTTGTATTATTATTTTTTTTTTTTAGCCAATTATTGATTCTCCTGATGTTTAACTTTCTCATTTTTCTTGCAGAAGCTGAACTGTAAGGAGATCATTGAGGGTTTAGCCAAGGTGCTGAAGAAACACACAGGTATGGAGTGATTTATTTAGTGAAACTGAAGTCAGTATGAGTTGATTCTTCAGCGCTGACAGATTCATTTGTTTGTGTGGTTCAGGTTTAAGGAATATTTGAAACTGAAGTCAGTGTGAGTTGAATGTTCAGCGCTGATGGATTAATTTGTTGGCATGGTTCAGGTTTAAGGAATATCTTGCCTATCACAACTGCTAAAGTGCCTATAGTGAAGTTTGAACACAGGCAGAGCGGACTGGAGGGAGACATCAGCCTCTACAACACACTGGTTGAGACACACTCTCTCTCTTACTATATTATATTATATACAGGTGCATCTCAATAAATTAGAATGTCATG